TTCCTGTCTTTGACTATGTTGGGAAAATATGAAAGCTACCTTTTATATGTATATAATATGTATAACTTCAGAATAAGTTGCTCTTCCAATCATTTGGCCATTTTGTTTCTATTTTTGAGTTTGGATTATCTTTCGACAATTTGTGATTAGGAAGATACGTATCAAATTGTATGGTATGGTTTTGATAGCAACGTTTTGTAAGCATTCAAGAGAATAACGAGTGACCTTCCACACAAAATGCACAAAATTATGCTTTTTTGGAACGAATACTATATGATAATTGGACATATAATATTATTTGGTTTAGGAAAAAGAAATATTAATCCAAGCTTCAGGATATGGACAAAATGGCAGTCGAGTTATTTAATTAACAAATCAATTACTATTTGATCGGACTATATAGCTAGTATCTTAGACACTAGTTATTTCAATCCAAGTTTTGGTTTAACACAGTACATGTTTCAAGCCAAAAAAATATAGTTTCAAGAACTTGTCTATCTGTAATTTCAATTTTCCAACTAATTGTTAGCCTGATTCGTAAGTGGGTTTTCTTCTAGTCCCTCGTTTGCAAAGATTCAAATTTTAGGGGACTTTTTCAAATATTCAAAGCTTTTTTCATTAAACTCTTTATATTCGAAAATTACATTGGATTTCAATTAATTTTAAATTAAATAACTTTAGATTTCATGAAGAAAATAACTCTTCAAACACTTGTCTCTTTATTTATAAGACATAAAGTCAAAACTTTACTTTAAATCAAATCATATTAGACTTCATAAAAAAAAAAACTTTTCCAATATTTATCTTTTTATTTATAAAATATGAACTCAAAATTTTATTTAAAGAAAAGAAAACTCCTTTTAACAAAATAAAAAGGTGGTCCTTCAAAAAATTAAAAAACAATTTGAAGTTAAGGTAAAAAAAAAAATTAAATAAATAAAAAAAACCTTTTTTTTCTCTTTTTCTTTTCTATTTTTCTTCAATCAAATAAGCTCTAAATTCTCTTTAGCTAACTTATGTGCAAAAATGTTAATCCATGTTAATTAATTACAAAATTAAGAATGATGACAGATGGGCTGACATCGGCTTCTACTTTGAAGACTGGGTTTACGGCACCTGTTAATTATTAAAGATTAATAACCTTATTAAAACTAAATACAGTACATACGTGTTGGACTTGGACAGTAATCCTCGAACAAATTAAATAATCATCAAATTGCCTTTCAAATATCACTAAAATTAACTGATTCTCCGTTGAGATTAGAGATAATCCTACTCTTTTGAGATCCGTTATTTTTTTGAACAGATTCTTTTGAGATCCGTTAGTGGGACAAAGACAAAAGCAGTCTCTTTTCATTTCTTGGACTCCGCTCATCTCAATAGAACCATTTACATAAAACCATGCAAACAAGTGCATGGGATTCAATTCGACAAAGTCCCCTCTTGGAAAAATGGAATTGGTGTTTCTTTTTTTCTTTCTCAAACTACGAAATTTCTAGCATTTTGCCATTGCAAGGGTGCGGGGGACTTGAACCTTCTTCACCACAAGTCAATGAGCTTCTTCCCCCTAGAAATTAATTAATGCAAAGGCTTTTTGAGGCACAAAATTAGAAGAGAAATCCCAATATTATAGCTAGTTTGGGTTTATTTGGAGCTAACCGTGCTGCTAAAAACTATAAGTCAGTGTGAAAGCACTTATGCCAGGATGCTCTTGTTTTAACCATTTGATAAATGTAATGTTTACCAAGAGCACATATATTCATATGCAACATAATAAGAAAGACAATGCATTTTAATATTTATGTTCGAAATAGTTACTGATATATATATTTTTTAAACTCTTTAGTATCTTGAAATTTCATTAAAAAACAAATATCATCAGATATCAACTAATTTAAAGTCAGGTCGAATTAAACTATATAAATAGAAAATACTCTTAATATTTGTCTTTTTATTTACAAAATTTAAATTTAAGATATTATTTAAAAAAAGCTAAATTTTTTTTCACTTGTACTAACAAATTGTTGATAATTATTACCATTACTTACTATTCTATATTCACCCTTATTTCATTTTATACGTACTACCCACCCATTTAAATAGGCATGAATAACTCCTTGATATAGGTACAATTGGAACAATAGTATATTTAATGTTCTTTTGAATGTAAAGAATAACAAGTAACAAATGGGTTAGAAAGCCAATTAATTGTAATCTTTACAAAAAATGCACTAATTCTAACCTTTAGTGTTGGATTCAAATCTCTTACTTCAAATTTGTACTTGTTAAAAGGAAATACAAGTGGAAATTTAAACCATACATTTTTAAGTAGCCATGACAAAGTTGATAACTAACAAGTAATGAAGTGCTCTAATTTCCTTACCCTATATTTATATTTATATATGAAAAAAAAAAAAGGGAAATGCAGGGAGGAATTCCTTACCCTATGTTTGGTTGTGAGGAAAAATGAAAGAGATGACAGGGAAGATAATATGTCTTTTTATTTTTCTATATTTTCCTTCCCTCTCATTCCCTATCTTTTAATTTTTATTATCCAAATTAAATAGATAATCTCTCTCCCCTCAGCACCACTCAAACCATATAATCTGTTAGAGATTCTTGGAGTGAATAAATTGACATAGTTTCTTGATGGCCAAAGAAAAATATTCTTAATAATATAATTATATTGTTACATAAAAATGTAAATTTATAATTATAATATATTAAATAAAAAAATGTATTTAAATATTATTAAATTAAAAATATTAATTTGAAATCAAATCATATATTTAAATATTTATGATACCAAACAATTAATTTTTTAACATACCCCAATTAAT